TGTGAGTTCAATCCCTGGTACCAACTAAAAAAAAAAACCCTCTTGGCAGTGACGTCCACTCAGCTCAGTACTTCGAGCCACACCTGGCTGCCCAGAGAAGCGGAGAACTACAGGACTATTCTGACCAGTGTCCACCCAGCTCAACCCTGAGACTCCTGTTTACAGGACAGCATCTCTATCACTTAGACTCTAACGCACCTTCTGATGCAGGAAAGTCTCCAGTAATAGAAAAAATCAGTCTCTTGAAGCAGCTTCACTGTCTCTGAGAAGCCGTTAGAAAACCATTTTATTTGTCTGTTTAGCAATGCTTGGGCCTGAACCTGGGGCCCTTACACTGACCTACCGCCACAGACTTTTTTTCTATTTTATTTTGAAATAGGGCCCCTCTAAACTGTTAAACTGCCCAGGTTGGGCTCAAACTTGGGATTCTCCTGCCTCTGCCTCTGAGTGCTGGGATTACAGCTGTGGAACACCATGCCTGACTTAAAAGACCCTTTTTTATTTGTTGCTCAATTCTGTTTCTCTACTTCTACTCACTGGCCCACAATGCCACACCACTTTAGAACACACAGCAAGACACAGCCTCCTCCCCAAGACAGAACTTGGCCTATTTGAGTCACTCCTGAAAGGCTTCCTCAACTGTGTACTGAGAATTTTCGTTGTTTAAAATATACATTATTACCTACAGCCTTTGCCTATTTTATTTCTTTGGCTCCATTGTGTTACCTCTTCAAATATTTCATATATAGTTACCTTCTGATGCTAATACCTGAAGTGTTTGGAGATGTGCTTTATCTTTGTTGTCTCCTTTTCTGGGGCCTTATTTTCATGTGTGATCCCCAGCCTTCCCTACAGGGAACTAAATTCGGGGCCTTTACACTAAACTACACCCCGAGCCCTGTTCAATTGTAAGGCCGTCACTAAACTGCCCCGGCTTGTTTTGAATTTATGATCCTTCTGCCATAATCCTCCCAGAATACTGGGATTATGCGTGTCACCACACTCACTTTCTTTATTGTGGACTCCTATTTTATCTAATCTGGAAAACTGGTCCTTAGTTGCTTTCACAGTGAAAATGTTTTTGCCTCTGACTAGAGCTCAGGTAGGAATCGTGAATACATCTGGTTTACTTCAGAAGTCAAGCTCAGCTCCCTTGCCTTGGGTTTCATAAGGGGTATGGGACCCCTGAATTTGTTATTTGTCCCAACATTCTTTATTTGCAGCTTTCTCTTTCTAATCCTTTGTTTGTTTTTGTTTTTTTAGTTTTTTGAGACAGGGTCTTGCTGTGTAGTGCAGGCTGGCCTCAACTCATGACAGTCCTCCTGCCTCAGCCACTTGAGTGCTGGAATTAAAATTTACACTGTCATGCCCAGTCTAATCCATTTCATCTTTTTTTTTTTTTTTTTTTTTTTGTCTTTTTGAGACAGAGTCTTGCCATGCAGTTTAGACCAGCTTTGAGCTCACATTGTAACCTAGGTTGGTCTCAAATTCAAGGGTGCTCCTGAATGTTGGGATTACAGGCATGCACCACCAGGCCTGACTAATCCATTTCATCTTGATGGGACTTCCCCTGTCTTTGGTGCCCTGGAATGCAAACTTTAATTTATTCAGGGTCTAGAAAAGTCCTTCAAAATACCTGTTTGGCTGTCTCAAGTCCACTGATCCATTCTTCCAGTGATTCATCCAGTAATCTTCACTGGACTCCTGATCTGTGTAGCCTGCCTGGCTATGTTGACCAGGGCTTATTCGGTCCTCTCACTGCCCACAGGGGTGAAACAGCCTCTTCAACAGAGGGCAGCCAGTGGTGCCACATGGGCAGAGGTGCCATGGGAATTCGGCAGAGGGGTGCGTGCGAGGCAGCCAGGAAGCTAAGTGAAGGTGATAAAGAGTGAACTGGATCTAACATTGGCCCAAGACAGTGACGGTGAGCAAAGTAGGTGCTGAATGAGCCCTGCTGCTGGGGAAGCCTGGGTGAGGTTTTGGAGGGAAGAACAACTGTAAAATCAAGTGGAGCTAGGTGTGCCTTGGCTGGCCAGAGGCCATTCTCAGCATACCAGGGCCGGGCAGTGATTTACCAGAAGGGACTACTGGTCAGTCATTACCCTGTTCCCCATTACCCCTTAGGCAGGCGCTGTAACCGTTAAACCTCCGGCCAGCAATTCGGTTTAGATCACAGCTGCAGTGATGTGGGGGCAGGCAGGGCCAGAGGGAAGCCAGGAAGATGGGTTCAGATGCAGACCCCTACTGCTCAGCTGAGAAGGAAATCAGGTGAGGAGTGGTGTGCAGAACCAGTGGCTGCATGGTTCAGGGTGAGTGTCGGGAGCATCTGCCCCTGCTGGGTGCCCAAGGTCCTGTCTGCCTCAGGGGCCACAGGAGCCTCACAGTGTGGCTCTCCTCGCAAACAAAAGCCTGAAAGGACTTGGCTGATTACATCTATGGTTAGCAAGGAACAGCGGTACAAGTCACAGGCGTCACAGGTAATAAAAAGCATGCTCCACAACCACCTGCATCTCCCCACCTGGCCCTCACCTGCTGCCAGGTGTGGTGGCACATGCCTGTGATCCCTAGCACTCAGGAGGCCAGCCTGGGCTATGTAGTAAGACCTTGTCTCAACATCCCCCAAATAAAAATTTAAAAATCGCAGCTTCTTCAAGGCCCCCTCAAAGGCAGCCCTCATTTCAGGCTTTTTCTCTAAATGGCTGAGGCGAATTGTTTTGCCTAAGGTTGCCCTGTCCACAGCTGCAGAGCTGGGATTTTTCACCCAGGCACACCCTCTTGAGGGCCTGTGCACCCCTCCTGCCAGACTGGTGGTATGAAAGGCAACCCCTAGCCTCCCCGCAATGGATTTAAAAAGCACTTGGTTCACTCTGCCTTCTGTGACAGGGTCTCACTACGTAGCCCAGGCTGCCCTCCTGCCAAGCGTGGATCTCAGACATGCACCATCATGTTTGGCTTCAAGTAATTCTAGACTTAGCAGAACTGCAGAGATGGCGTGCCAGGCATGGAGCTTCTCTGCTCCCATCTCCCAGGACCGAGATGCACTCGTCAAAAGAAACACAGGCACTCACTCCTCCAGAACCTCTTCTGCCTCAGGCTTCATCTTCATGAACAGCAATGCTTCTGACTTTCGGACAGTTCTCAGGAGTGTTTCCTAGAATGTCCCGACTGGAATATCCCATGTATGAGCCAGAGGCTGCCACTGGCGTGAGCTCAAGTGCTGTGAGCCTTACTTGGCCAGGGAAGCATGGCAGGTTGTTCAGGGTGGTAACTGTTTTCCCTCTCCCAGACGCTACCCTTTGCAGTGAGTCACCAAGTCCAGCAGCCCACCGTGCCCCTGTGAGGACCGCTCAGAACTGTAACAAAAACTTGTCACTCTTTACTCTCTTATTAAAATTCACAATTTGTTCTGAGACAGTATCTCACTATGTGGCACAGGCTAGCTTCCTGCCTCAGCCTGCAGAGTGCTGGCATTACAGGCATGCATCAGAAACAAGTGACCACCACAGGGGTTGTTTCAGCAGCTGTAAAAGGTCTCGAAACCACTGAATTGCACAGCATGTAAATAAAGCTACAATTCAAAAAGTATATGCTCCCACCTTAGCAAGTAATTTCCATTAAATAAAAATCAAAGGTGCAGCTCTCCACACGGGTTTTCTTAGCTACATTACAGGGATGGCACCTTTTCTGTCAGGCTAACCTTCAACAGGTGAGTTAAGCACGGTGGTTCGTACCTGTAATCCTAGCACGCCGGAGGCTGAGGCAGATACTGGCCAGCCCGAACTACACGGCAAGACACTGTATCAAAAAAACCAAAACAAGGGCCAGGGATTTAGCTCAGTGGTGTAAGCACCTGCCTGGCAAGTGTGAGGTCTCAAGTTCAACCCCTAGCACCAAAACAAACAAACAAACAAAAAACACAAAACATTCAATGGGTGATTGAAACAAGGGAGGTACATAACCCGGACTGCACCAATACAGTACCCCACTCCTCCCTCAGAGCTTTTGCTTATTCACGGCCCGGAACAGAGTGTGCACATGTTACTACAGGTCTATCCTAGCAGCAACCCAAAGCACTGTTGCCCCAGCCAGGCTGGAAGGCACACACCTGTCACCTTAAAGACCTTAGGGAGGTAGGAAGCTCTCCGAGCCCTAATACTGTGTCCCAAAACTTAAAACAAAACCTGAAAGGGCTGAGAACGTAGCTTACTCAATACAAAGTACCTGAACTCAATTCTCTATACAAAAAAGCCAAACGAGGGCTTTGCCTCTTGATTTCTTTCCTGAAGAACCCACCGTCACCTTGTATTCTCTCCACCCTGTCCCCCCCGCCCCCAGGCTCGGCCCACCCCACCCCACCCCACCCCAGCCTCTAACCACAGGGTACTGCAGCAACCCTTGTGCAGCATCGGTACCATCTGGTGCCCATTCTTGGATCCGGGTGCAAGCTTCCGGAAGGCAGTAACTTTCTCTTCTTCATGGCTGATGAAAATAGGACCTGGTGTGGATTTGTGGGGTGACTGAATCTTATGTACTTTATGTTCCGATGTGGAACCACCTCAAGATATCTGCCAAGGGAAGACAAGCAAGCTGCAACAAGCGAGCTGCCCATTTCGCACAGAAGGTGTGGGGGGAGACACCCACGCGTGCTTATATTCGGCTCAGGTCTGGAAGGTTCCTCTTCTGCTCGGGCTTCGCCACGATGACAGTTCCCACTCCGCTTTGGCTCCTTAAGAACCAACAAGCCCAGTTTTAGAGCCGTCTCCATTTTCAGACAAGACCGCTCAGGCTTTGCTGTTTTGGATCATGGAGGCATTACCATCTCACCCTACCTCGGGCTCATCCTCCTGGGAGCCACCTGCAGAGCTGGGTGGGCCACCTCACCAAAGGTGCCGGGCAGCAGGCCCTCCCCACCTCTAAAAAGCAGCACTCTGCTGCTGTCTGCCCTGCCTCCTTCATGGCTACCCCTGAGAGCCCAACCCCAAGAAAAACTAGTGCCGAAGTAGCTCACACAAAAGCCATTTATTAACAGAAGCAACTTGAGTCTCGTTCACAGACGGCGACCGCGGCGCCCTCCCTTCCTGCGGGTGCTGTCGGAGGGGATGGGAGTGACATCCTCTGTGAGGAAGAAGAGAAAACATCACTGCCTAGAGCTAGTGCATCAAAATGTCCCAGTCTCCACTGCCTCCCCAGAAGAGTAAACAGGCTTGAGAGCGCATGGCACTTCAGAGGCAGGGGAACACCACTGACTGCACTGGAAAACCCTACCAACAGGTGAGGGGAGGGTTACAGTGGTCAGAAACATCTTCGGATCAGGACATGCTAAGACTTCAGACCGAGAGCCAGTACATCTTGCTTCTAACTGCACAGAAACAACAGCGAAGAGCCAAGGCCTGCCTGAGAGCAGGAAGGGACCCAGTCTCCACATGTCAGGAGGCACTGCTCAGTCCTTCACTTCTGCTTGTCCCAGAGTGGTGTGTCTTTTTATCTAGTGGGCAGAGACTAATGCTGCAAAGTGGCCTACTGTGAAGATGACCTACAGGTACCACTAACAATGACCCTGAGAAGTATCAGGAGGGATGGAGATATTTGGGGAGAGATTTTAAGTCTCAGAGTGCCTTTACTGAACCTACTGCCAACAGTGACTAGAGCAGGTTGTTTATGCTTTATCCACAGGCACATGGTTTTGGGGCCAACCCTTCCAAATCTGCCAATCAAGGTGATACCTAAGCTAGGTGGGTACTCACCAATCCTCCCGATCTTCATTCCCGAGCGAGCAAGGGCTCTGAGGGCTGACTGTGCACCAGGTCCAGGGGTCTTAGTCCTAGTAATGAAGGATTAATTAGCCACGTCAATGGGAATTCCTTCTAAGAGCCACATTCCCTTAGTTCAAAAATCTGCAAACTTTCTGTGATATACTAGACAGTAAATATCTTAGGCTTGTGAATTACTATGTCTTCTGTGGCTTATTCCCTGCAAAAGGCAACAAAGATCTCTTTCAAAATCCAAAAACTACTCTCAGCCCAAACTGTACAAAAACAAGCTGCAGGTCACACCTGGCGTGCGGACCAGTCTGCCCATTCTGTCTGCAGCCTGGCTCTACCTTTCCCTCCCCAGCACATGCTGTGACCAGGTGTCATTCCAGCTGCTACATTCGAGATGCCACCAACTCCATCTGGTCTGCTTCCCACTCAGCAGTCACCTCTAGTTTTTGTGCCCAAACTAACACCCAGGTTCTTGCCCTGTTCTACATACAGTAAGGCTCCCTGAATCATCTCATGGCACTCTTTCCCTCAGGTGCATTCTCATCTCAAAAAATGCTCTTGGCAGCTGTCCCTAGCTGGGATATGCCCTGTACATGCTCCTTCACAGGATCCTTTGGGACTCTGCTTTTCTGTACCACTGGTGATCGAGCCAGGAGCTTTGTGCATGCTAAGCACTGTCACGGAGCTACAGCCCAGCCCTAAGTTTAAATTAAACTGTATCACCAAATCCATACTTTTACATCCTAGCATTTACTGCAAGTCCTATTTTCATCAGCTATGAAGAAGAGAAAGTTGATGCTTTATGTTAAGTGTGACTCCCTGCCAGCCCGGGAACGCACCAGGAGGGCAGAGGCCGTAACTGCCTTTTCCCATCATTCTTCTTCCATACTGAACACTGTATCAGGACAACATGTGCAGGAATGAAGTATTTCAAACTATTTTACTTTATATATCTAAAATCTCTTGAAATCAAGACTCAAAGTGCAGTGCTCTGGCACCCAAGATCAGCTTTTTACCACTGCCCAGCCCCAGCCTTCTGTACCTGTTTCCGCCTGTGGCCCGGAGCTTGATATGCAGGGCGGTGATGCCCAACTCCTTGCACCTCTGGGCCACATCCTGGGCAGCCAACATGGCAGCATACGGGGAGGATTCATCTCGATCAGCCTTCACCTTCATCCCGCCAGTCACTCGACAGATGGTTTCCCTGGGGACAAAAGCACAGCCGTCTTCACTCCCCTAAAGGATTCACTGAGTGCCATGGCACACACATGAGACGGGAATGGTCAACTTGAGCACATACTCTGATCCTGGACAAGACAGCTGTGAACACTGCTTTCAAGGGCTCAGTATCCTGTTAGCGCTATTACTTAAGCTTCACAATTACTCTACAAGGTATATGCTGGGAAGATCAGTTTACATGCATCAAAAACGCAGCTGTCACACAAGTCACAAAACCTTGCTGACAGCAGTCAGAACCTACACTTGGGACTGACTTCCAGTCCAGCACTGCAGCCACAGTACAGGCATCAAGGACTCAGTGATGATCACCCTGTGAGGCTACACAGACACTACCTGGGAAGTTAGCCTTTGTGATGAAATGATACTCTTTCCCTGGACAAAATACTGTTTACTTAGAACCCTTAACTGCTCAACCAGGGCCCCAGGTCTCTGCTTCCTTCAGCCTCTGCCAGCTGAGTTTTATGCCCACCCACCCGTTTACTCACTTGCCAGACAGATCAGTGACATGGACAAAAGTATCATTGAAGGATGCAAAGATGTGACAGACACCAAATACATTCTCTCCTTCAGCCACCTGAGGCCCGAGGCTGATGACCTGCTCTTCCTTCTTTTCCTTCCCCTTGCGAGGCGCCATTTCTGAACAAAAGGACGAGAATGTCAATGTTAACAAGAGACAGAAGTTTTTTAGAACCTTCCTTCCTTGGCTACTAGAGGCCCTGTTTTAAGCAGGTGTGGACAGGCTTGAAATCCTACCACTCTGGAGGCTGAGAAGTGATCATGAGTTTGAACCTAGCCCTGGCAACTTAGCCAAACTTCCTGCAGGAGGATCGCCAAGTGAGGCCACCTTGAGCTACACAGCCAGCTCCTACCTCAAACCATCACCACCATCACCAAAACAAAAAATCTGTGAAGATGTGGTTCAGCTCAGAGGCCCTGGATTCATTCCCCAATACCATAAACAAAAAAATAAAGCGCTTTGCTCCTCGGTGCCCCTACCCTTCTCCACACCCACACTCATCTGTCCCACTACAACCCACCTCTCCTTGCACTTGGGGTTGCCAGCTGCTGGCTAAAACCAAACCACTAGCAACAATGAAAAAGCATAGCTTACTGCACCTTTAGGAGAAGGTTCTAACAACAGATCATAAGCACCCCGATTTCACCCAGTGGACCTGCAAAGTAACAGATGATCCACTGGCTTAGGTCTCTGGAGACCAGAACACAAGTGGTAGTTTTGCAAAAGTGGGCAAATCAATTTTTTCTCTTGCCAGGCATGGTGGTACATACCTGTAATCCCAGCACCACGGGAGGCCGAGGTATGAGGATGGCCACAAGTTTGAAGATGGGCTGAGTTACATAGTGGGTTCAAGGCCAGCCTGAAGTTCACAGTGAGACTTTTTCTCAATAAAGGAGCTTGGAACATAGCTCACTGCCAAGGTCCTTGGGTTCAACCTCCAGCACTACAAAATGAAAAGTTCTTTCTTCTGACCTTTACTGTTTCTGACACATAACCCAGGAAATTTTTGTTGGGTTTGTCCAGTGTTTCACAGCGAGTGAATTGCAGAGCTGAGATCAAAGCCAGGTAAAGAGTTCTTAGACCACACAAATTACTTCTAACATTAGAAGAACTAGATCTCCTAGCTGGAGGTTTAGCTCAGCGGCATAAGCACCTGCCTTGGAAGCAGGCAGTCGTGAGTTCGATCCCCGGTACCGATAAAAACGAAAAAGCCAAAAAAAAAAAAAAAAAAAAGAAATGAGAAGAGTATATCTACCAGCTAAACTGTGTGAAGATCAAATTGATAATACGTGAATAGTGTACTGTAAAACAGAACTAGATCTCCTAGTCCCAGATTCCTCCAACCTCTTTTTGAGACAGAGTTTACTATGCAATTCAGGTTGGCCTTCAACTCAGAGATCCTCTTGCCTCAGCCTCAGTGCTGGGATTACAAGCATGTGTCACCATGCCTGACCCCAGTCCCATTTACAGTTTAGGTTCAAAGAAACTCTGAAGACTGTATTTCACAAACTAAGGTCAGGGTCAACACCTACCCATGAATGGTAGTCTGAAGATCCTTCACTCAGGGGGTAAAATCTCACTGCTTCAATTCTACACACACTTTTCAGTTTAGATTTCAAGAGTCCCCTGCCAACACAGCCCTCCCAAGTCCTTGCTTCACCAGATTCCTCCCAAGTCAATCTAAATGTTCTTCCGGCCCTCCAGCAATTCATCTGACACCTTCCCACTACTGTTTGGAACCAAACCCTTCAGTTTATGCACTAAATCGTGTCTTCCAGAATGTCTGATGGACAAGATCCATTTGGAAGACTCAATACCCTGCTACAGCCTATAAATATAAAGTACCATCATACTGTCTTGACCTAGGAAAAAAACACATTGGCCAGGGGACAGTGAAAACCGGGAGACCAGGAAGGCTGTCTCCAGTCTAGAGCCCCGGTCCCTCTGAACATCCAAGCTCTTTCTTTTTCTTGAGACAAGGTTTTACTATGCAGTTCAGGCTGGCCTCGAACTCGGTGATTCCCCTGCCTCAGCCTCCCAAGTGCTGGGATGACTGGCATGTGCTACCAAGCCATGCCCGGCTCCTCATGATTTCAGAGGAATGATTCAAGTGAAATTAGGTTATTCCTAAAGATGGGGCAGAGAAAGTTAGAAGGGCGTGCCCAGGACCACATTACAGACAAACCACACCAGCACAGCACTCTACTCCACATCAAGATGCCTCTCCTCCCCTCGTGCGGACTGTGACTCCTGGAGCTCCCTGTGCCTTCCTCACATGCCGGTGTCTGACCACAGTAAACACTGTCAGTGCAGGTTTGGGGGTCCTCACATCAAACCAGTCTAACGAACATGACCGAGGGAGTCAAGCACTGCAATGAAGGCTCCACAGAAGCCCTGGGTTCTGTCTGGAATAGCCTAGGAAGGTACCAACAGGCAAGTTCTGCCAAGGCGGCTACTCGTGTTTTTTTGCCTAACACCCTGGAAGTGATTAGGGAATGTTTCCGCGAGTACACAGCGAAACCAGCACACACTTCTATGCAGCCCCCACCATCAGTTTCTGGCCCAAGAAGCCGGCCGCGCGCGCGCAGAACATGCTATGTGCCCCCAGCCAGCAACAAGGATCACCCTGACTCTGGAGCACCTACAGGACCAGGTGTTCCTGAATCCTTCCATGTGTCCACACTGCAACCCCACAAGAAAATTCTTATTTCTGTCTTCCTTAAGAGACAAACTTCAAAAAAGATGCAAGCCTGCGATCGCCCAGGAAGAAGCTGGCAGGACTGAGGTTGAGACCAGAGGCCTTCCTCTTACAAACCACGCCGTGCAGCCTCCTAAACGAAGCCTTAAGGCCTGGATCTGTTTCACCCCACTTCATATACTTCCGCCCGAAACCAGACGGCGCCTTTGGAGACCAAGAGAAAACTCATCCAGAACGGACCGTAATCTGGTCAGCCGGCCGCGCGACTCTCGCCCAGAATTTAGCTCAGCCAGAAAGACTCCAGTCCCGCGTCCTCAGCCCCGCCAGGTCCTCCAGCCAAAGGATGCCGCAAGATTGTCCGCCGCCGGGCCTCTTACCTGCAGGCCGTCTCCAGACTCCACTACCGGAAAGAGAGGGCGGGGGAGGGCGGGGCGTCGGGTCACTTCCTGTCCCGGAAGTGTACTTCTGAGGTCAAAGGGTGAGGCGTGTACCTGGAAGACACCTCGATTATTGCCAAGAGATTTAGTCTCGCTCTCAGCAAACATAGCCTACTTAACAGAGAGCGAAAAGAGGGAAAGACCTGTGTGCCGCAGGGGCGAATTTATCTACGCGATCGTAGGAAGCCGACACTCGGCGGAGTGAGGCGAGACTGCGTTAGGAGAGGACGGTGGCCGCGGCTAGACCAACTTCCGCTATCCTGACTCTGGGCTTGGCTGCCTGGAAGCGTTAGCGCTCCGTGTGGCGCGGAGGGGAATAACAGAACAAGGTGAGAAATTATTCAATACTTTGATGCTAGCCTCCGCTAAATAACTTATATACATTGTTTCATTTCACAGAATTATCATACAAGTACGGGTTTTATTTCCCTTTACAGATAAGGAATGTTAATCAAATATGTAGCTGGATATATGAGGAAGGACTAGCAGATCTTGGCAAATAGATAAAATACACATATCTGTGTGCACAGGTGCGCACACACACATACACACAGGCATATATGAAGTATATGGCTGGATGTGATGGTATGTGCCTGTGTAATCCCAGCACTAGGAAGACTGAGACAAGAATACTGTGGCAAGTTGGAGGCCAACTGCCATAGTGAGTTCAAGCCCAGCCAGACCTACATAACAAAACCCTGACTCAAAAAAAATTATACATATTGTATTTATATCCTGTATAATTCAATGTACATATTGTATATATGAAAAAGTTTTAGCAAGCTGGGTGTGGTGCTGCATGCCTGTAATCTCAGCTGCTCAGGATGGTGAAAAAGGAGGATTCCAAACTGAGGAAAAGAGCCAGGCATGGCGCTGCATGCCTGTAATCCTAACACTTGGGAGGCTGAGGCAGGAGGATTACCATGAGTTTAAAGCCAACCTGGGCAACACAGTGATTTCAAGGCCACCTTGAATTACATGGCAAGATCCCAATCTCAAAAAACAGACAAGAAAAAACAACAACAACAACAAAAAACCAACCCTCACAAAACAAAACAAAAATACACTGGAGCCCATTGTATCAAAATATAAAATAAAAAGAGCTGGGAGTGTTGCTCAGTTGTAGAGTGCTTGCCTAGCATGTAGCAAGCCCTGGATTTAATCCCCAATACATAAAAAAAGTAAGTAAATAATAGCATTTTAATAAATAGCTCTTGTGTCTTAGGATTTTTTTTCTGAGACAATCTCTCTATGCAGTTCAGGCTGACCTCAAGGCTTCCTCCTGCCTCAGCCTCCCCAGTGCTGAAATTACAGGTATGTGCCAGCATACTTGTTTTGTGTCCTAGAAGTGATAAAACTCTGACAGACATCTGCTTAATGCAATTTTTCTTTTCAAAAATCTGGGCATAATGGTGCACTTCTGTAATTCCAACACCTGGGAGACAAAGGGTCATAAATTCCAACCCAGTCTGGATGAGTTAGTGAGATACTATCTCTAAAAGAGGCTGGAAATGCAGCTCAGTGCAAAGCCCTAAATTCTTTTAATTTCATTTTTGCTTTTTTGAGACAGGGTCTTGCCATGTGCATGTCTAGCTTTGAACTCATCATGTAGCCCAGGCTGGTCTTTAACTCACAGCAGTCCTCCTGCGTCAGCCTGCTGAGTTCTGAGATTACAGGTGTGCGCCTGCACATCCAGCTACAGAATCCTAAATTCAGTTCTCAGGACTACAAACACAAAATGAAAAACAGAAAATGTATTACCCTTTTTCCCTTTAGGAAAGCAACTTCAGAACACCCATAAAAGCAGAAGTATAAGAATGTCAATCAAGAAACAAAAGTAGCAATCACAACACTGCCAACCACTTGATATTTGTCATTCCCAGTGTCACCCATGTACATGTGTGAAAAGGTTTTTTGTGTTTTACTTTTTTGTGCCTGGGATGGATCCCAGGGCTTTGCATTAAGCTATATTGCCAGGCTTTTTCATTTATTATTTAAAGGCATTGTTAAATTGCCCAGACCAAGTTTGAACTTGTGATGCCCCTCCTTCATCGTGCCAGAGTGCTGGGATTACAGGTGTGTGCTGCTGTCCCTGGCTGGTTTTCCAAGGAAAGACACTAACAATATAATGGTTTGTATCAATAGTTAAAAAATATAACCATGCTTCTTATATACAACTCCTACAACACAAAGGTATGTAATAAAAGTAAAAATCACCTTCAAATTCTTCTTTCTAGAGTATCACCATATGACATAGGAGCATCTGGGCTGGGGATTTAGCTCAGCTGCATAAGTACCTGCCTTGCAAGCAGGTGGTCGTGAGTTCGATTCCCAGTACCGATAAAAAAAAAAAAAAAACTTAAAAATGACATAGGAGCATTATTTCCAAAACAACTTTCTTTGCCTCTATGATTATGTTTACAGAAAAAAAAATTTTTGGAGGCACAAACTCTGTAGTTCTGACTGTTCTGAACTCATTATGTAATCCAGGCTGCCTCAAAATCATGGCAGTCTTTTTGTTTCTGCCTCCCAAGAACTGGGTAGAGCCACCACACCTGGCTTTTTAGAGCTTTTTAAAGCCAACACTGTTATGGACATCTCATAATAACTGGTAGAAAGCCTCAGAATTTTTAAAATTAGTTTTATTTTTTTGCTGAGGTACTAACCTTTGCACTAAACAACACTGTAGAGGACCACTGGATGGCTTTCCTTAAATAAAGAGCAGTTACCACTACTTTAGCTAAACCTGGCCTTCTCTCCATGTACTGATATGCACAGAGCTGGCTAAGCTATTTCCTTTCCCTTCAGTTGGCTCTAAGCAATGTAAACAGGGCTAGCTGAGGTGCTGATGTGTAATGTAATCTTTCAATCCAGCCGACAGTGAACTGTCTTCTTGCTCCAGTGTCTCCCCCTAAATGGATCAGCTCTGGGGCTGTCAGCTAGGTTCGAACCTCAACAGAAGAGGCTCTGACTTCCCAGGGCAGAAAAAGTTTGCCCATCAGAACTGAAGCACTTGCCCCCTAAATGTTAAATGTTAAATGCTGCCTTAATTGTGTTATGCAGATTGGTCTGCATATCCTTCTCTGCATATTGCAGAGGTGCTGTTTGGCCTCCTGGCTAGTCCAGCTCACTATGCTCATGTATTTCCCGCCATTCTCATGGTCACTTATCCTTAGCCACGCCCATCTTCATGAACTAATAAAATTTGGGTTAGGCTCTGGGTCATGGTCTTTGTTCTGTGCACCCTTATCTGGACCAGACACAAGACCCCATAGCTGCCCTGTAAATAAGTCTTAGTGTCTTTATTCTTACATGGATTGCACTGGAGGTGGTAGATTGGAATTAATTTGCCAGGTTTCCAGTAACATTTCCATGGAATTACAAATATAAATTTTCCAAACCAAAACGAGGATGGGAAAAGAGCCTCTATGCTGTATCCACCAGCCCTTTCTTTTTTTTTTTTTTTTTTTTTTTTTCTTTTTTTTTTTTTTTGAGAAAGGGTCTTGCTAAATTTTTTATTTTTGGTACCAGGAATTGAACTCAGGACCTTGCACTTGCCAGGAAGGTGCTTATGCCACTGAGCTATATCTCCGGCCCATTTTTTTTGGTCTTTGAAACAGGGTCTCACCGTGGTCAGACTGGCTTTGACCTCATTATGTAGCCCAGGCTGCCCTCAAACTGCCTCTGCCTCCCATGTGTGGGAATTACAGGCATGCACCACCGTGCCAGGCAGGGGCTTGCTAAATTGTCCAGGCTGGACTTGAATTTGCAGTTTTCCTGCCTCAGCTTCTCACATTGCCAGGATTACAGATGTGTGCCACCATGCCTGGATAAACAACTTTAAATTTTATTAGTTTGGGGCCAGGGATACAGCTCAGTGGTACAGCATTTGCCTAGCGAGCGCAAGGTTGTGAGTTTGATTCCCTTTACAAAAAAAAGAAAAAAGCATAAATTTTATTAGTTTGAATATAAAATCCACTCACAAGGGAAATGCAAATCAAAACTATGTTACGATTCCATGTCATCCCACTCTGAATGGCTATCACTGTTATGGCTTGTGTCCCCCTAAACGTCATGGCGTCATAGGTATATCTTTTGGGAGCTGCCTGGATCTGGAATGTGTGATGCTGCGATCAGGGTGTGTGATTACTGAATGGGTCCACTGATTGCTTTGGCATAGTTCTGGGTAGGATTAAGGCTGCCTCACCCTGGGTGTGAGTGTTACCTGCTCTAATGGCAGAAATCCTGGATGGAATATAAGGGACGGTAAGAGGACTATTGTTTGCTTGCTGCTTGTTATGGTTTGTGTCTGGGTATCCCCCCAAAGCCTCATGCAGTTATTCGGAGGTACTTTTCAGAGGTGACTGAATCTAGAGTTTGTGATTAATTCATTATCTAGGGCTGAGATTATGGAGTGCTGCACCCACCCTAGGATAGATGTAGCCTGCGTACAATAGAAGAGACAGAAAGAGTCTCCTCTCACTGCTCCTCCCTTTTGCTCTTGGTGCTTTTGCTATCTTCTGCTGCCATGAACTGTTCCTCATCTGCCATGCTTGTCTGCAGTGCCACCCTGCATTGAGCCAACCAGTTATAGACTGAAACTCTACAAACTGTGGCGTAAAATACCTTTTCTCCTTTAACTTCGTGTGTGTTGAGAATTTTATCTCAGCAACAAGAAAACTTACTAAGACAATCGTTGAGAATACAGAAAGCCCCCGGCATGTTGGTACCTGCCTGTGATCCCAGTATTTGAAAGGCTGAGGCAGGAAGATTGCTGTGAGTTTAAGGCCAGCCTGGGCCATAGCAAGATCACTTCAGCCATAGCAAAACTCTGTCTCAAAAAAGAAAAATAAAAAATGCTGGGCATGGTTGCACATACCTGTGAGATCAGCACTTAGGAGGCTGACATGAGTTTGAGGCCAGCCTGAACTATAAAGCAAGACCCTGTCTCAAATAATAATAATAAATGCTGGAGGGGAGGT